TTTAATCTGTGCCTATTTTGCAAAATCTTATTTTTTTCGTTTCATATCGGTGAACCGGTAAAATGAATACATTGGATGAGGTTTTATTTAAAAAAATTAAAATTGAATCATAAATATATTGCCCATAAACAGTTAGTATGTTTAGCAGTTTAAAGTGCTCTTTTGTCGAGACATCAGAATTTAGTCTGAGTATACTCTCACTGCTCTTTTTTGATGTTTCAATATTTTATCTAGATTGATTTGAGCTGTTGCTCCATATAGACAGATACCAAAGGAAATATGTGAATGGATATATGCAAAGTTAATGTTTTTCAAAGTTTTGACATCACATTACACAGACATTTGTGAAAGGGCAAAAATTCCAGAGTTGATTTTTGAAACTATTTTTTTTTGTATAATCATTCCAATTCAAATTTTGATCTATTGTTAGACCCAACAAGTTTGTGCTGGTCTTTTTCTCAATAAGTTGCGAGTCATACATTGTTATTGGGTGATTGGAATTTTTTATTTTGTGGCGTTTTAAATGTGATAACAATAGTTTTTTTGTTATTTAGTTTTAGGTTTTGGCACACCAGATAACTGCCCAAATTTCCAAGTTCTAGAAAACCAGACATTTCCGTTTGTTACTGACTAAGATCAATTTCAATTCAATTTTGATTTTCAATTTCTTTATTCATTGAGAAGTATACATAATACAGCATTTGAATAGTGTCGAAGATTACAATTATTTAAATATAAAATACAGATTAAAAATAAATCTAAAAAAAATACATCTCCCCCTATACAGATGCCTTCTTAATATCTAGTACTCTTGAGGGAGGTGGAAAAAATCTTCTTGAGAATAAATTGCCATGTTTATTAAAAAAAAATTTTGTTTTGTTTTAAACTTTTTGGGATCTTTTTCATTTCTAATTCCTTCGGGGATATGTTTAAAAAAAGTTTACCAGCAAATTATGTTTTTTTTTCATAAAACTTTAATCTGTGCCTATTTTGCAAAATCTTATTTTTTTCGTTTCATATCGGTGAACCGGTAGATTGGATACATTGGATGAGGTTTTATTTAAAAAAATTAAAATTGAATCATAAATATATTGCCCATAAACATTTAGTATGTTTAGCAGTTTAAAGTGCTCTTTTGTCGAGACATCAGAATTTAGTCTGAGTATACTCTCACTGCTCTTTTTTGATGTTTCAATATTTTATCTAGATTGATTTGAGCTGTTGCTCCATATAGACGGATAACAAAGGAAATATGTGAATGGATATATGCAAAGTTAATGTTTTTCAAAGTTTTGACATCACATTACACAGACATTTGTGAAAGGGCAAAAATTCCAGAGTTGATTTTTGAAACTATTTTTTTTTGTATAATCATTCAAATTCAAATTTTGATCTATTGTTAGACCCAACAAGTTTGTGCTGGTCTTTTGCTCAATAAGTTGCGAGTCATACATTGTTATTGGGTGATTGGAATTTTTTATTTTGTGGCGTTTTAAATGTGATAACATTAGTTTTTTTGTTATTTAGTTTTAGGTTTTGGCACACCAGATAACTGCCCAAATTTCCAAGTTCTAGAAAACCAGAAATTTCCGTTTGTTCCATAGTAGGAGAGGAAATCATTAAATTAGCATCGTCAGCATACAGGCACAATTCACTTCTAGGTCTACATACTAGGACACTGCTTATGTCCTTTAAATAGCACAAAAATAGCAATGGTCCTAGAATAGACCCTTGAGGCACTCCATATTTTATTGTTTTAATTTCTGAGGCAGTTTGAATATTTTTTTTATTTTTTTATTGAGTAATTTCAACGTATTGTGTTCTATTACTCAGATAGGAATTAAACCATTGCAATGCATTTTTAGTTATTCCAAGCAATTTCAATTTATTCAATAACATTGGATGTTTTACACTATCAAAAGCTTTAGATAGATCCATGAATATGCCAATTGTTGTTTCACCTCTATCAACCGATTCAATAACTGACTCTAAAAAAGATACTGCTGCAGTGACTACCGACCTTCCAGCCCTAAAACCATGCTGGTAATCATCAAGTAAGTTAAACTTTTCAAGATAATCACTCAACTGATCAGCTGTTTCATTAGTCAGGATTATTTATTTAAAGCCCAATGATCAGGAACAGCCGGGTCCGGTTTCGAACCATCAAAAAGCTACGGACTTTTCTCAGGATCGAACCGGCAAACTTTTGATTAGTAGGTGAGCACTATACCACACAGCTACTCAGCCAGTTTAATGTCAATGCCACGGTTAATGTAGTTAAAATTAACCGTGAAAATTTTGAAGTGGAATCTTATATACAGATATACCTGTTAACATACTTGATATGTGGTAACTGTAAACAATTAAAAGTGGTTTTCTGGAGATATTAAACAAATCTGTATTATAGGCTTTGCTTTAACTGACAGTAGCTATAAATGGTCACATTTAAAGCAATGCATGTTTCGATCGGAATCAATGTATTTCCTGGATTGAATTGTTTGACAATGACATACCGGTACCACCGAAACATGAAACACTTTCAACGTTAACATTTAGAACTGTTCGCAGGAACTTAACAACATATATTCACAGTTCTGGGGATATTACAGTGTATTTTACTGAATAATAGCGTGTGTTTATTCGTTAATTTAGACGTACTTTTGTGTTTATTTGGAATGAAAAAATCACAAAAAAGACTTTAAAAAAATAAAAAAAAACATATCAAAAGGACACAAATGCACTCTTAAACATAAACACTGATTGAAAAGAACACGACTTTTGTAACTGTGCAATGCAAATGTTGATGGAGTCATTGTTTTATAATCCTTTTGTTTACTAAGAACAAAGGCGTGTTATTACTGATAAGTTTCAGCAGATTTTACAAAAGCTTAGATGATGATCAGAAAGGTCGTGAATCCTTTTTGTTGCTTGAACAAATTTGAAACATTATTTTCGTAGCATGTCCAAGGGATAACGTAATGGAAATTAGAAAAATTTGATTGTGTTTTTGGAAAGCAAATAAAAAGTAATGTAATAGAAACAATTGATTGGACATTAAAGCTAAGCCACATCAAAAATAATATATATATATATATATATTAAATCACATTTCCCTTTAACTTTATAAAAATAACTTTTTTTTAATAAGTTAACTGCAAAAGCAACCCGATTTGATGTCACATCATGTTTATACACTGTTCCATATTTGTTGAGTGAATATAGGGTTTATTTACACAGTGTTAGTAAATACGGTTTGTAGTTTATCTGCTTCTGTCAACATATTCAACCAAACGGTTCACTAATTTCCACACTTAAAACAGCTATAGCCTAAGGAGATGCTGTTTATTCTTTTTATAAAATTCGGTTTCAACGAATAAACGAACACATTGGTAACTCAGTAAGTACTGAAGTTACAAATGATGACAGAGAAAAAAGTTAAACATAAAACTTCGATTAGATTAAGACTAAAGGTTCAATGAAGCTTAAAAAAACACTATTCCAAAGTGGCATGGTTAAATGTAATCTGTAATACCCCAGTCAGCATAAAAATTGTTGGAAAAGAAAATAAATTGTTTCAAAATTGTTTCAAAATTGTTTCGAAATTGTTTTAAAATTGTTTTAAAATTGACAAATTTGGAACTTTGTCTATATTAAAATGAGTTTAAAATTGTTGTACAACAATTTCAAAATTGTTGTACAACAATTTTGAAATTGTTATAAAATATTTTTGAAGTTGTTTTAAAACAATTTTGAAATTGTTTTAAAATTGTTGTATAACAATTTTAAAGTTGTTGTATAACAATTTTGAAGTTGTTTGAAAATTGTTTTAAAATAGACAAATTTGGAACTTTGTTAGGGTTAATTTCTATTTGAGTTCATAAATAATAAGTACGCCTTATAAGCAACTAATTGAATATAACATTAATTGATTAGTTTACTATCAAAAACAATGGTGAATAAATAAAAACAAATAAGTATACTGAAATTCTTCTATTTGAAGTAAACAAATTAAAAAAAGTAGAGAAATAATAAAAACACAGTCTACTACATTCTGGAAAATAGAAATGGGTGCATGGATATAAAAATAAAATATTCATGGACAAACTTTAAGTACTCTACCAGCCAGCACAGAATAAATTATTATCTTTTCAATTGCAAATTTAACATTCATATATAGCAATCATTAGTTTGCCTAGGCCTAGACCTAATTATTTAGGAGGGCTTGTATAAACTAAGTAACAAACAATGAGGTTATAATAGCAGCAAATTATCATCATTCTAGTTTATAAGATTTAGATTGCTTAACGCATACAACTCAATAAATAAATATGGGGAACAAAAAAATATTGAAACCCAAACAGCCAACAATAAAAGACAAAGATACATGAAATGCAAGGATATGATTTTTTGAGACCAAGTAGGACTGTGTTATGATAAAAAATTAATGCAAACAACAATGCTCGTGGTTTTGTCAATTGAAAGATAAAATGTCCATAAAAGAGGATTTAACTTATAAAATAACACTGTATATTAATTCGAAGTTTAATATGAAACCGTAAACAGTTTTGAAGGGAGTAGGCAACGGCCAGCGGCAAATTGAATCTTCAAGATGAAAGTACAAGTAAGAAGTTAAATTTAACAGCTAATATAAAACTATTATTCCCATGATCAAAAAGGTTTGGGATCTAATGATAATTACCCTAGTAATAAATAAATAAGTTGTCAAGGAATGACAGTGATACAACTTTTATGAGCTTTGCTACTGAGTCATAAGTTTTTTGAAGTACTTGACTTGATGTGATTGTCGAGATAAAATATTTATGGCTTTGAGATTGCTAATGTGGTTTCTATTGCATAATTACTCCATAGATTACTATGACTATTATGATTACTATATGATGACTATATAGATTACTATTAAAATGATGAAAATGTAAGCAAACATTTTATAAAAAACCTTTTATGTTCTTCTAAAAAATTTTTATATCATACTTAAAATGGCCCACACAATTATTTAAGGACAATTACCACTAAAAATTACCCATATTTACTAAAAACAGTACATTTCAGTAAAAAAATAAGTTCATTCCCAGATTTCCCGGTTCGTAGACACTCTGACAATACATTATTTACACATCATTCAAGCGTCGGCGGCTTCACGATCCTCATCTTCCTGTTCTTCAGGTGCTCTTTGACACCCTGCCCTAAAATTATAACACACAGATTAATATTATATTTTGTTACTAGGGACCCCTGAATGTTTACAGCTGTTACGTTAAGCAAATGGCATTATAGCAAAAGCTAGTCTAGAATGTTGACGTCGGCAGCTTGACTTAAAAAAAATGAAAACTTAATTTCAAAAAAACTGAAACCCTAAACTGAAATTGTGCCTTTGACATTCCCTAGTTCTCAGAATTATCTTTCTTTCGACACAAAAATAGTGAAAATCTATCAAGTGGTAGATTCAGAATCGTGAAATAAAAAAACCCTGTCAAGTATTAATGATTGTTGCAGTATTTGTCTGAGATAAATAAAATCACCTGAGCTTTAGTATAACAATATAGCCTACTATCAAAACTGAAGCATCCGGAATTAAGAGAGAAAGCTAGTAGCATATTGTTTTGTTAGCCTATGTTTTTAACCTCACTAAGTGAATTTTGTAATACAAATTATCACACTATACATACCCTTTCTAAGTCTTTGATTTTAATTGTGTCTGTGGCAGCCATGAAGCAACTGATTTCTCTATTTTGCTTTGTTCAATGTTGGCCCATCTCTTTTTCGTCATTTCTTCAAAAAACAAAATGCATTTAATAGAACATTGCAAAAAAAATTTCTGCAATTTTTGTGGAGTTAACATTTATTAAAAATTATATAATAAATGAATAGCCTAACATGTATGTTTGCGCTCAATATTTTTTTATAATTTATAAGTCTACACATATTTTAAAATAGCCACTTTGTTCTAAATTTTATAAGGATTAGGCCTACAAAAATATAATAATATATGGAAGAAAAATTGAAAATAAATAAGTTATGGGTGAAAAACAGATTTCGTACATTAAGCGTTAGTTAAGAATGCATAGCCTAATCATAGCTAGGAATCTGGCCGATAATTTACATCAATATCACTACCTACTTCTTCAGGATCATCAACCAGCCCTTCAAAATCACTTTAATCTTCTTATAATTAAATTCTTATAATTTTAACACTAAGACAATGGAAACGTTTAATAAAACACATCAGTCATCGGTGGTTAACCAAGTTGTTTACAAATACGCACGTCAGCTGCCTGGTAAAATATTTTTGGAACTAAAATGAAAAGCGTCTAGAAACATACATCAGGAGAAAGCTTAGAATCTGCCGAAAACGATACCAATCTTGATCCAGTTCAATCTGATTAAGTCAGTCCCAGAGCCTTCGCCATAAACGATGTTTGTGTGTCGCAAAAGCGACGCATAACACCACGGCGGATGTGTTGTGCATCGATTACGCGATGCTTAACACTCGGAGGGCTAAATTATGAGTTAACCAAGTTTCAAGGTCTAGTAAGTTAACATATTTATAAACTTAACTTATAGTTGAAAAACCCCTGCAGCCCTTAACACAACAAGTTTAAAAATAGGCTAACTTAACTTAAATCAATCCCTAGCTGATGTAACTTAGCTAGGCCTAAGCCTAAATACCTAGTCATATTACTTTTAAGCAGTTACCGCATTAGGCGACAGGCCCTACAATGTCATTTTCTATTTGAGTTGGGGACGCCACCTAAGTGAGTAATTCAATTCAATTATGAGTTTATAAACTTAATGTTAGATGTCTTGTGTAAGTTAGGTCTAAGTTATTTTAGTTTTGGTTACTGTAAATCCAACTGTATCATTTAGCAACGACCATTTACTAAAAACCCAACGGTAACTTACAGTTTCAGTAACATAGCCTGTTATATTTATGAGAAACAAAAGGAAATTCATAAGAGTTTGCTCACATAGGCTAGGCCAATTCTAGAGATGGGCCATAATCATGTTACCTACCAAATACCTATCAAAGTTATTGGTTAACTTAGACCAGGAACTATTGGAGTATCTCTATTTCATTTTAGGTTAGGCCTATATGTTAGTTTAGAATAACTGAATCACCACTGACTGAAAAGGCCTAAGTAAGTTATAACTCACCTTGTTTGCTGCTTAAGAAGCTATGTAGGATAAAAACAGTAAACTTAATGCACCTAATAACTTTTAAAACAAACAAAATGCCGTGATGCCCATCAGCCCGTGATCATGATCAAATATCAACATCAACAGACTGGAGACTGCTGTAGTCAGTGAACTGCGAAACTCTGGTAGAGTCTAGAGTAGATGATACTTGTAAGAATGTTAAAACTCATCCAGTATACTTATACAATTACAAATAATAAATAATTTATTTTCACTACTGTTAACCTGTTGTTATTAACCATTAAACTTATACAGGTCGCGCAATTGATGGTCTAGGTCTAACTTGAGTTTGGCAGTCTGCCCCTCCTCCATGACTCTTTCACTTGATTTTACCACTATCGTACTGTATTTTAATCAAAATCGCGGGGAGCTGTCGTTGCTGACGCATTGGCCACATACAATGAATACACAAACTAGTTTGTGTATTCATTGCCACATACACACAGCACAACACACTGACTATTATCCTACAAGTATAAGTGTCCCATAAGGAAAAATAGAAAAAATGTGCGAAAGACTTAAAATTTGGGCGAAAAAACACGAAAATCATTATAAATCTTTTTACAAAACAGACCATTTCAAGATTATGGATGGCCATTGTAATTTTTGTAACTTATATTACTGAAAGGAAAGCCGCTTTCATAAATATAATATCCAGAACATTTTGGTTTTATAACATTAATTATTATTTTAATGATTTTTAGAAGTTGCATTTAAATTGGCTTAAAACTATTTTAAGACTGTTGTAAACTTATATCAATACAATTGTGATACGTGTTTTCGAAACATTATTAAAATTGTTTCAAAACTATTTTAAAACTGTTGCAAACTTATATCAAAACAATTTTGATATGTGTTTTCGAAATAGTATTAAAATTGTTTCTAAACAATTTTAAAACTGTTGCAAACTTATATCAAAACAATTTTGATATGTGTTTTCGAAATAGTATTAAAATTGTTTCTAAACAATTTTAAAACTGTTGCAAACTTATATCAAAACAATTTTGATATGTGTTTTCGAAATAGTATTAAAATTGTTTTAAAACAATTTTAAAATTGTTGCACACTCATATCAAAACAATTTTAATATAGTTACTAACCATCTATATTAAAACAATTTTGAAATTGTTTAAAACTTATATTAAAATTGTGTTATATCCAAACTTATTTTGAAATTGTTGCAAACTCTTTTAAAATTGTTGTACAACAATTTTTTTGGCTTTTCAACAATTTTTATGCTGACTGGGACCTTCTCTGTGGCAAACGTTAACGGTAACTTATTACAAAGTATAGTTGTAATTGAAGCTAATTATCTTTCACAAAACTGCAAATTCAAATTCAAAATGCAATTCAACTGCAAAACTGTAAACTGCAAATAAGATAATGAAACTATGCATAAGATTGTTTTTTTATTCATCAAACCATTTCACACTGTCGTATAGTATGTTATTTCTTTAAGGTGTGATGTTTGAAACCGAAACTGCCCTTTAGTTAGAATTTAAGTAAATAATATTATTCAACATGGGTAATTTTAATGGCTAAGGAGACGGAATCTTACTTCTAGAATCATGGTAATTACATTGTTGGAGTATTGTGCTGTAAAAAGGTTGTAACGATTAAGTCTTCCTATCGCCCCACCTTAAATATCTAGTGTTGCTACTAAATTGTACGTAAGTAGTGTCATTGTAAGAGTCCTATCACATCAGCTGATATGGGAGTTGAGCATATGTTTGCTGATGAGATGCAAAAACATTAGTTTCGTGAAGTTTTTTTAAGAAAATTATAGGTACGGTATGTCGTCACAAGTGTGACGTATGTTGGTGATGACGTTTGAATGTATATCTTGTTCAAGGTCATTAAATAAAAAAAATAAAAAATTGGAAGCTATCTAACACCGATTTTTTCTGGTGTGAGATAGCTTCCCTTTCTTATAATTCTTTATTTACAGAAAACATGAGGAATGACAATAACTCGGTATGAGCATTTTAGATTATATAGGTGGTTTCATTTTCTAATAATTATTTTTTAGTTACAGAAAACACAAAAATCAAATTTCATCAAACGTTTACACAATAAACGTCTTTAAATTAAATGTTGAAAGATTTAAATTTGTTTGTAAGAACAAAACAACTACAAGTTTTCATATTCTTAAAATCATTTTTGCATGCTTAATTATACTCCAACCTCGTGTTCAGAAGCACTTGCAAATTCTTTAGTTTAGTATTCAACGACTCAGTGTAATACAGTAAGGCTACGTGTTCTAAATATGCAACAACTACCTGTATGCCAACGTTGTCTTACTGGCTAGTGATTTAATTGAATTCCGTGTCAGTAAGGAAACACTAGCTACAAGATACATTTAAAACTAGATAGTGGGAATTTGAAGGCCAAGTTGTTCTAATAATTATTAGTAAATTGAGAAGCGTAAACATTATAGCCTTTTTACATAGAAATATTTTATTGACATAGAAATATTTATAAATATTTGTATACCTTGCTACTTTAATGGCCCATAATAGAGTGTCAAAAGTCTGATAGTTGTAAGGTTTGAGATAATTTCCGTAGAAAGAGTAATTAGAAAGTAATCATAATTAGGAAATAATGTCAAAAATATAGAACATATTTAATCAGACCACCCGTGGTATAAAACAGACCACCGTTCATAGAAGGTTAAGGCTGATGCCATGACGTAGGGAGTTATGTGTTTAATCAAACCACTTTTATAAAGCTTTAGATTTTAAACAGTAAAACTGATAAACGCTGAATAATTTAAAATTGAATAGTAAAATCAGTCAAACAAACAACAATTTTAAAACGATAATATTAAACTATAATATATGATGATTAACTATGACATTATTATCGTTTTAATTCCATGATATTAAAACGATATCATAACCTTTTTATTGCAAGATGAACGCCTTCATTTTATACTAATTAGTAAGTATATTCACACAAATAATTTATGAATTAATACATAGCTATGAACAATGTAGTGGAACACATATTATATTCAGTTAGTTTAATAATTGGGCCTTTGTTTATTTTATTACTAAATTTGTTACTTAACCACGACAATGAAATCAATTGCGTTAATATGTCATTAGAAGGAAAATTGTGGCATACAAAAACTTAAATATTTTACCAACTTAATGATAACTTGAGTATAGAATAATGAAAATACCCACTAAAAATCAATATTATTCAAATATTAGATAACAGTTATTATGGAATTACTAGGCTATACAACCTTTTTTATACATGTTGGATGTATTGAAAATCTTTTATGTGTTTTTGCCGAATCTGAAAACATATTTTTTAAATTAAAATTATTTGTGTTTTCTTTCAGGTGAGTAGCTGTGTCACAGGAACATAATATCTACTGTGGAGGTAATGAGAAACAGAAAATTAAGTTACACAATTTGAGTTCACAATTCGTTCTTATAACTAGCCTGCTGATTATTATAAGCTGGGAAAGAAACACAAATGCACCATTATAAATAACGAGCAGCTCGATGCTATTGTTTTACCTCCATTGTCATTGTCGCTACTTGGTACTCTGCAGTGTAAAGGGGAGAACCCACTTTGCATTGTTCATATTGGAATCAGATATAAACAAAAGTGTTAAATTAATGTCTCTACTTATTGACTGATAACAACTGAAATATTTTTTAACATATTTGACTATTTAAAATATAATGCAACATTTTCAGTCAAACATTCAGCTATCAGCTGTATTTTTGCTAAGTATTATTGAAAGTTATGTAACAATAATTCAACTATTAAAGTATGGTAGGCACTAACTGTCCCATTTTAATTGAGAACATCTTGGCTTCGGTAAGTAATTTTTCATACAACATGATTTTACAGCATGATTTAGATGAAGTAATAACAAAGGCACTAGAAGAAGAATGGTGCTGATAATGGAGTTATCGTCGTGTAAAAAAGTATCGCAATGTCATTAATAGAATATTATGCTTTTAATATATTAATATATTGTATTTAATAGTATAGTAAATGGATATTAATGTTATTTGCGTCATTATTGTGTAACTGCATCATACCATAGCTATGAATAAATTAATAAAAAAACAATTTTGGTTGGTTGGAAGCCGATTATAAACACCACAAAGTAGAAAAGCTCTCAATAGAGTTATCTAACGTAAAACATTTGGGACGACAGTATTCCCATTTCCATAAGTTTGCTGGCCGTAAATCCCTTAAACACATTTTCAATCCCTTTGGAGCTAACATAAATAAATATGCTATGTTCATAGAATACACTACTCTTGTTCCATACAAAACTTTGTTTATCATATGAAGTAGGTACAAAAAGCACGCAATTGTAGTCTATTTAGTTAAATATATATTGTTTAGGAATTATTACGTGCAATTAATTAGGAAAAAGTATGTAGCCTATGTCATAGGAACAAATATTGAATTATTACAATAATTATAGGAACAAATTCATAGGAAAAAATCACATTATTACATTTTCAGTCATCATAAAGGTGGCAAAGATTAAAACCAAGTCAAATCTTTATGCCTTGCAAGGTATGTCTAGAGCAGTCTAACTAATTAATCGGCTCTACACCAATCACCTGAGCGTACAACAATTAATTTACAAGCCTAAAGTGTTTAGGTAGAGATTTACAAACCAAGTGGAATTATGAGACATAAGGACAGTTACAAGTAAATTTACGTTGCTGTTAAAATAACTATTGAAAATGCAATTTCTATTGCTTTGATGAACTATGACGATCTGTAGTATAGTATTTTCAAAGCGAACCACCATACAATTAGTATTTGAAGCTTTATAAGGGTTTAAAGCCACTAATAATTAATTTTATGTATAAACAAAAAAAAAAATATATATCGACAATTCTTATGTTGTGATCTTTTGAGTAAAGTTTATTTAAAACTTAAAACTGTTTTACACTTCGGCACTATTTACATATAACTCCTTTCTTAAATATAATTATGGCAAAAATAGAAGGGTTGTTTACTGATTGAGTCGTTCCATTAGGGAGTAAACAAATAAACACGAAAACATATTTATAACAT